TATCCCATCCACTGACAGAGAGTGTGGGGTTTGTAGATCTTGTGATATTTCTATTTTGTTTTGAATGTAAACAGTTATCACTATTATTGTTATTATTGATCAATGTTCCGTTCTTAGGAACTGAGTAAACTCTGATGTAGACTGTGTTATGTTGTTGAAAGCTTCAGTTTCAAAAACCACACAGGAAATTACAGGAGAGATGAGACAAGGTGGTAGACTGGGAAGAAACGGGACCAACCAAAACTCCCACCACCCTTACGCCCCCCTGCCAGTCACTCCCTTGCACTTTGCCTTGGTGTATTCCTTCCTATTGAGGATGCATTCCTGGCACACCACACCCAAGATCATTGTAATGAAAATTCCTGTGCCTGTGCCAAAAGGATCCAGTTGCAGCTAATCTTTTTTTGCGGAGCATCACCTGATCCTGAGGCCGGTGGAGGTTAGGACCGCGTCCTTGCCAATGGTTGGAGGTGCTTGAAACATGGACAGAGTGTGTGTATGTCAGGGTTCGGGGGGGGGGTAGTTGCAGTCAATAGTGGCTGAAAAGCCATCTGTCGAGCAAATATTTCACGATACCCTCATCCCCTTGATTCACATCCACCTCTGCTTCCTCTAATAATGCTCTTCCCTTCAAGCTCCCATTACCATCTCTGGAATATTTTGTTACTGTTGGCAAGGTGTGGTAGCTATTAGCTTCACACTCTGTACCATCGGACTGTTTGTAATGTTAGAATTTAAGCTAACGCCACTGTTACACTCATAGTCACTCTGAATAAAAGTGTCAGCTGGATTCAGAAAATATTAAATCTCAAAATGTCAACAACTCCTCAGACACACACTTGAGACCTGAGAAATACATCTTGCTGTTCTCCAGATGGACTAATGATTCAAATGGCCACAACTAAAACAAACACGCTACAAAATACAGCTTAATCACTTCCTCTGGCGAAGCCTTCATTGTCTGGGAGCGTTATCATCAAACCGCGAAGGAAAGATGTGTTCCGTATGATTTCAGGTCCAGCCCACTAAGAGAGCAGAAAAAAACTTGTGTATTTTTGCATCTGCAGAGCTAAGCTGCTCCTATTACAAGTCTTTTTGAGCGGTAACTTGGAGAGGGAACCTGATCTGGCTTTGCAGACCCAACACTGAACAGAGTCGACTGATACAGGGATCAGTGTGGGAGTGAAAAGAAAAGGCAAAGATGACACTGCTGTTTTCCCCCTTTAAAAAAGAAAAATTGCTCTTTTTCAGCTTCACTTTCATTTCTGGGAACTTCCCAGAGCCATGACAGGTTTGACTTCTGGTCATTAGAACAGTCAGGGGGGGTTAATGCCTGGCTCAAGGGCATCTGAGTGTTAGTTGTTAAGATAATGGAGAGTCTTACTCATCAAGAGTACATGCTTCAGTTTTCCCATTCATTTTGGAGGCTGGAGCAGACTACAATTCTTGTTCTTGCTGGGTAGTATAAATGAGGTTGACATCACAGTCATGTCATTTACATGTTTAAAAAGAGAGGTAATTGTTCAATACTAATACTAAAGCAGAAAAAATACTCTCTAGATTGTTGTTCCTTTCTGGCATTTTCAGTGGACATTTGAAGCTCTGCACACCTTGCAAACATCCATTTAAATATTACAGTCGAAGTCAAACAGTTTTGTGCAAAAACTATGACTTCTCCTGCCTTTTCGTGTTTCTTGAGTGTAAATGTTGGAAACCAGACAGGAATATGTCCCTTTTGTCCCTGAGTTAGTAAGATAGTAGCATTATCACATTATTGGTGGGGGCCAGTGGTTTAAAGTACCAGTGAGAAGATGAATTACAATTTAGGAGCTCTCGTTTGAGTAATACATTTACGGGTTTGAAGGCTTATCACAGCATTTTATAAAACTATGAGACAGGATTTTACAACTATGGAAAGTTGTCATGGTGACAATCATCATCCTGGACTCAATAATCATGAGGTAAACAACGGGGGTAAACAACGGATTTACACAGTTTACATTGTAAAGTAATCTACCCGGAATGTGCCTTTCCATGTGCTTGATTGAGCAATGCAGTGCAAAAGCTGAGCAAACTTTTTTGCCAGACGACTGTGTGTTGTTTTTCCGGAGTTATTATTGCGGTCCCTGCTGTGGGTTAATTGAAATGAATGAGGATGATGATTTTTTTTCATTCAGTGCTGCTGATGGAGTTTCATTTCCAACATTTCCAACATTTCCAACAAGAAGAAAAAGAAACACATTAAAAAAAATGAATTTGGGGTTATATTGATACACAGCATTTTAGAATAGTCTTAGAGAGGACTTTACAGCTCTAGGAAGTTATGGCAGCAATCATTTTATTATCCGTCTCAACAATTGTGAGGTAAACTGTAAAATTACAAAGTAGTTCACCTAGAAGTTCTTTTTTGAGCAACAGAGTGTGTTGCAACAATTTTTGGGGGTTTTGGGACTCCTGGTGAGCCAAATCACAGGCCTCACACGGACCATACTCACCACAAGTTTAACATACGACCACCTTTTGCACCCAATGCCCCTGTCTTTGTCCATTTTGGAGTATTTTTGTAGTATCAGAGCCTGAATTGGTCAAAAAGACTTATTTATTTGCTTTCTAACTGGTCAAATGTGATGCCGTCACTTGATTGCCAAAAATAATGACATAACCTAAAAAGAAAAAAGAAATCAAAGATAAACATCAGCTTTGACAGTGACAGAATCAGGAAGGAGAGGGTCCAGACCCAAGAGGCAGAAACACCAATTCAGTAGCCTCAACAGACCAGAATGCAATGCAGCCACAATACAGGTTGCGGTTAAGCTGTGAGTAACCCACAGCTGGATTCAACAAGTTCAGGCCTGTTCTCGTCTAAACTACTCTGGAAAACATAGGAGTAGATTATATCAGTAAATACAATATATGTATAGAAAAGTAGAGAGGGAGGGACTTTAACTGCCACAGATATCGGTTAGATAAATACACAACTTTCAAGTTTCTTTTTTTTTCAAGGTCCGGCTATCCCAGTGTGTACAAACACACATTTTTCTCATCTTCTTTCTTCCTCTTGTCTGCGAGGGTTAAGTAAAAGATACTTTCATCTCCTTCATCACAGTGTGGCAGTGACTGTTCTTGCTTGGAAATACAGCATATCTGATTTCTGCTTACAGATCCTGATGAGCCAAAACCCATGTTCCAAAATCTTGATTTAAAACAAGCGCACTGCTAAAAGCTTGAAGGAAATCACTAATGAAAACTTGGCAGAGGCTAACCACCTATATATCACCCTCGCATGGATGTTACATGAGCTTTTAATTTACAGCATTAAAACATGCTACGGCTGCATTACTATTTACCTTTCCATATCCGATAGCCCCGGCCGGTTGCCATGGGGTTTCAGTCATATCCAATCCCGGCCCCTTTGGCACACACTCTTATCTCTGTTTAAATATCCGGTTACTTCCCCCTCTGGTCCAGGCACACAGAGACATGTCATTAAGAGCAGTATCTCTCCCCAGCCCAGGCTTCCTTCCTGTGCGCGTGGTGACGGATTGATTTTCTCCGGTAGGGATCCACTGCAAGAAATATTCATCTAAACAGGTTATTTAATCTAGTGTCGAGTCTAAAAGTGGCATTTTTTTTTCTTCTTAGAGGAAGAAAAACAGCTGACAGGAAAGAGAGATGATTTCACTTTTCTGCAATTGTTTCCAGAAAATTCTCCAGCCAAGTGACATCACATTAAAATAAGTGGAGTGATCGACCTTGTTATCACTTTTTCCAATAATTTAGTATTTCTTTAATAAGTTTCACTGGAAAAAGAGATGAAATTATGTCACGCTACCAAACTTCTTTATTTAATGAAATGATTTAAAAGTGGAATTAAGTCGTCTATAACTTTTATCAACCTCGAGTGGCGACCATTAAATTGCAAAACTAATTTAAAGTTGGAATCAGTATTGTCTTGTACTGTTGTTTTTTCTTAATTATGTCTTATCATAACCATCTGGAGTGTAGTGAAAGACTAAAAAAAAGGGCACCGTCACTCTCCACACTCTGCTATTGAGAATTGTTGATCAGGTTTGTTGGGTTGCAGGTACCTGGTTAATTACACCAGAGTCAGCCAATTGATCTTTTTCACAGCAGCCTTTGTGACATGAAATAGTAGGGTAAACATAGGTGTTACAACCATTTCACTTTCCTTGTCTGCAACCACCTGCAACACCATGAACCCCCTCCAGAATCGTTATCCCCAAATTTAAATGGTTATTCTTTATCTCTGATGGCCATCCTATCACCCTGCTTTCAACTGTGGCCATTCAGAACAGCCATAAACATTTTCTTTCTGACCTGTTTGGATGACAAATGGTATAAACTAGTTGTTTTCAAGCCTGAACTATGAAAAGTGGGCACGGATAGGTTGTTGCTGAACCATTAACCTCTTAAAATGGGCGTATGAACTGAACAAAATTGTTAAAACCAGCAACAGATTATTAGAAGTAGCATGAACAGTGAACACTTACTGATGATGAACAAAAAAAAACATAGTGTCTACAAATCCTTGTGCTTCACTATGATTTGAATCAGAAAAGTGAATCCTGATTTCCACAATAATCACTTGAAGTGAAAATCTCACTGATTGCACTTCTGGGAGTAAGCAGAATGAAGTGACTTGTTAAAATGGAAATTTTTTACAGTGGAGTCTTGGGTCTGTGGCTTGGCGTCTGCTCTCCGGAGCAGCCCTTGGTACCCACAGGGGTCAAATCTCCCTCCTCTGTTTCTGGAAGAACAGAGGCTGTTAAGAGAGGCCTACACTCCAGTATCTTTACAAATCAATGGAAGCACTTCCTCTCTCCTTGTCCTCCACATGCACTAAGGACGTATCGATTACAGCAATACACGCAATACATCCCTGTGTTTCTTGACTGCTTGTAAATATGCAGTTTGATGAGAGATTTCTGGTCTAGGGTTAAGAGGAGAGGTCTTGCCTGTGAGGGTCAAAACCTCGTTTTAAGAGAGTTCATTTTTCATGCTTTGCCAAAACCCCTGGTCATGGCTATGGAGCAATCTTAGCTGTATGGGGATAAATGCACAAGGGTTGCCCTTAAAGCCATGGACTGTACAGCTGTGGCGAGCGAACACCTCAAAAGGACATATTTATCCTGAGGTATAAAATTTTCTTTCAGCACCCCTGCTCTCCCACAGGTTTAGTCGTGATCGTGTTACACGTCCTAGCCGTAAGAGCACGGGGGGGGGGGGGGGGGGGGGGGGGCAACTTTTGCACGTCTTTATCGTAAAAATGTTTGTCTATTGTACAGTTGCCCTGGAGTTGAACTCTTGGGGAGAGTAAACAGAGGGGGGGTAACGGCTACGCAGGCCTTTCCTTCTCTTTCAGCTGCACTAATGATGTTGTGCCGGACCACAGCTGTTTTTTTGTGGCAGGTGTGCAAGTGGGAGCCACAGCAGACTGCGCTCGGCCCTGGATCGGAGGAATGCCAAAAACAAGACGGAAGGAGAGGAGACGGGGCGCATAGCGAGGCGGAGAAACGAATATCCACACAAGATACAGCTCCCTGAGCTCCCAGAAAGCTGGATACAATATTCAATTGAGAATTTCCCCTCAACACCTGGCCACCAGCACAAGTAGGATATTGATGTGGGTCCCGCGCCAGAGCCCCACAGCTTGACTCATTTCAAATCCTCTGGCGATTTCATGCAGTATTTAGCCGAAATGCTTGGACAAGAACTCGTCTGGAGTTCTTTCCTGAGACGGGGGACATAGCCAGTATGTCTTGAATATGCACTCCTCTGGTCTGGGCCATGAGGATAGAAATGGCCCCGAGATCATTTCCTGTTTGAAACTGGGATCAGGAGCAGAGAGGGGAAAATATGCACAGAATATTTGCTATGCGGATTGGAGATCACTGTGGAGATTACTACAAGGTTATTGTAAGACTGTATGTACTGTACAAAAGAAGAGAAATGTGACTTTTAATCATTTGTGGGGGTTTTCCATTTAAATTTCCACAGAAATCTCTGATCTGTCACCAAGAGGTAAAACTAAGGTATTATGTAATTGTAGAAATGTAACCTGTTTGAGATAACTGTAATTTGCATGTATTGCAGATACTAGATTAGCCACTTGTGATGAATTCATACTCAAGACATTAATAATAATGATTCCCCCCAACTTTTTCAGAAGTAAAATTATTATAGTAAGAAATTATAATATAGGACAAATAAAATCAATTGGAACAGATAGCTCAGATCGTACAAACACACTTCCAAAATGTTAAAATTTGCCAGAAAAGATGAAGAAGCAGGACCTGCTGGTTGATCTGTGGGCTGCAGCAGTACGCGTAATGCTGTGGGACATTTGTTACTCCCCCCTCTTTAATTTCCAATCTGATACTTTCCACTCTCTGTCTAATAAAGCAGTAAAGGCTTAAAAAATTAATTTTTAGATATTGCTTTCGGGTAGGAAGTGAGACCAGAGTGAGACCTCTGTTCTCCCTGGACTAGCGCCTCTAGCTAATATTAAAGCCGAGGCCATACGTGGTAAATATTAGCTTTTCTCTCCCGTGTTGACAGTGTGTGCTTTTCCACACACACACGGAACAAAGGTCTGCCATATTGTACGCCCACCTGGGAACTCAGAAGGGACAGAGTGGAGGTAGGTGTTCATTGCTTAACAGTGGTGGCTTTTCATTGTGTGACTTATGATTATGCAGTTGAAAGGCCCCTTCAGACCGGATGTGTAACGTTGATAATGGGAACAGGAGGCTCATTCTGCTGCTGCTGTGGATACAACAGCCAGATAAATGCCTCAAAGTGCAAATCAGCAAGATTCTCATTATTTAATGCTCTCTCCATTTTTGATGTTTGATGTTCAGCACTCATTGGTGCTGTGTCTGCACTTCCCAGAAATCATCTGTCAGTCAAACAGTGTGTCACCTCTGTGATGTGTTTATTTTATTTTAAATTTTTTTTCAGCTGATAATTTACATGTGTGTAGGTGGTGCTGTTTTTTGTTTGTTGTTTTGTGACTGCTTAGTGGTGGTGAACATCACTACTACCAAGTTCTTCTGTTTATCACTAATGTAAAAAAGTTTTACTTCCTCTTCTCCCAAAATTCCCAAATACCTGAACTGAAACCCCTCACCAAAATAGGTGTGTTGGAAAAAACTACAGTGGCCGCGAAACTCACAAAAACACAAAAGGCGCTATCTAGAGCCAGTGTTTTATTTGTCTGTTCTGGACATTGTGGTCCAACATGACGGCCTCTGTAGAAGAAGGCTCCCTCTGTAGATAAAAAAAGTTCCTTCTAAGGTAACAAAAACACAATAATTCTTATGTGCAGGTTATTATGCTCTAACATAAACATAACAATGAATATTATATTCCATTTATGCTCCTAAATGTAACTAAAAACTGGAGCTTTAACAAGATTCCCTGTATTTTTGTTTAATGTGTTATTTGGAGGTAAAACCAATAATGACCAAGTTTGCCAATCTTTCATACTTCCTCACCTAAGCACACCTGTTCAAACGTGGGCATGCTTGTTCCGACTGACAGTTTTAGAAAGTTACAAACACAGCCCCCTGGAACTCCCTCATTACAAAGGTGTGGGAGGAGGGGATACTGCTGCTGTTGGATGATCCCACAAGCATCTCGTTTGAAGCTTTTTAATGTGCATCGAAACATTGTATCATAACCGGTAGGAATAATGACCAAAAGTTAAAAAAGTAATTTTCCTTTCAAGTAAAAGTGTAAAGTCTGACTACCTGCACACACACTAGTAAATTTAGAAGTGTTTGGCTGACATTAGCTCCAGCCCAGTTGTGAGCCCCTCATCCAACTCTTGCCACACGTACACATGCAGTGCATGCCCACAAACACATAAAATAGCATTCCCTCTCTACACTCAGGTGTTTTACTTACCTACCTGAAACACTTTGGCTTGGAAAACAGGGGCAGCTCAGTCAGAGCTTTTTTTTTCTCTTCTCAAACCTAAAAGAGAGGCACTTTCCTCAACCAAAGACTTTTTACATTAAGTGAAACGCACCCAGATTATGCAGGGCGAGCATTCATCGCTCAGGTGTTAGCAAACACACTGTCCCAGCATGCTCCTTGGCTCGGAGCACACCAAAGGTCACAAGTCAGTTTCCTAAAAAGAGCCAAATACCAGCAGCAGGGGCCCAATCCCGCTGGCAGTGCCTCCCCCCTTCTCCCCACCACCTCCTTCTCTTCCCTCTCTGGCCTGCCAGTGTGGTTTGCCTTGGCTGACTGATAATAAGAGACACAAAAATCCTCTTATCCCCCCCCCCCTCCTTTTC